AACTCAAGTGTTTTCTAGCTTCTTGGTGTTTCTCGTACCTTTTATTAATCGAGGAGCGCACATGCGTGTTTATGCAGTTGGGAAGGGGTGGAGACGGTGAGGTTCAAGCCTACCCACCCTCAGTAACCTTGCTTTGTATTGAAAAGAAATCAGAGTGCGAAGTAAACGCATTAGCTGTTTTTGCACTACTCGAAAGTTTCCAACATTTCCGTAGAATTCCGAAGTTTTCCGAGAGAGAACGAACATTTAAGTTTTTATCACAGGGGACGATCGATAAACTTCACTCTCCGCCATAAAGACAAAGGTGGTATCTTCACATATGTTATATTCAAAGTTTGAATTGTCAATAAGAGAAACTCATAAAATGAACTATTCTAAAGGAAAACCCTACCTTCACTGGACGAACGTAACGTTTCAAGAGTCTATTCCGCAAGCGACTATGTGAGCCAACCAAATATTTTTCTAAGCAGCCATTCTTGGCCGTGAGCTGTGGGACGCTTCTGTTGACCAGTGCGACGCTATACTCCTGGGGACTGTCAATCTGTAGTGCCACTCTTAAACGGTCGTCATTCAGTTGATCCAAGTAATAATAAGCTTTAAATCTGTCCAACATTGCACCATCGACCCGCCCTGCTTGTAAGCTTTGGAACATCGCCATTTCCGATTCGTATACTTTGAAGATTTAAAGGTAAAACAACTCTTAGGTATTAACAATGGAGGAGAAACGGTAACGGAGCAAATCCCCACATAGGCACTTGAAATAGTTTTAGTAACAAAAGGGCGAGAAATGCTTTAAATGCTATTATCCTGTCCTTTTTCAATAATTTATAGTGTATAGTGTATAAGGCTTAGTGTATAGCTTACGAACTCATAAAGTGACCAGCTCCCTTTTCGCCACTATTGCATTATAGAGGGGGGCTTTTATAGCTTTGTGATAATCGCACTGCATCTGTATCGATAAGGTGATGGGTTCGCAGCCCGGACCAAGCCTGAATGTTTTCAGGGTTTCGTTTTGCAAGTGCTTTAACTGCATACATAGCTAATGTCAGAGTCTTAATCTCAAATACATGTAACTGAAAATATAGTCACTTTGCAGTATAAAAATCGCCATCTATCTTGTTTATTACATCTTCATTCTTTTACCTTTTGGGCTCTTTACATTTTGCCGACTTTCCCGTAAAATGTTATCACATATTTGAAGTCAAAGTTTGGTTTTATTATCTTGGGATATCTAACATATTAAAAAGACGTAATAGGCCCTTTGGTTAACAGTGGTGGTAGCGTACTCCCAACTGTAATGGGCCGGAGGCCCATTCCCGTAGGTGGTCCATGGGTATACTTCACCCAACGCCAGAACGAGCAAAAGAGGCGAAAATCCGAGGTCCCAAAGATCCGCAATTGCTCAACAGGGATTCACAGCTACACCATTTTTTGTATTAGGAGAGTTTGCAAGATTGCTTATCCTGTGTGTCTGGGATAAGATTATATTTTCGCAAAAGCATACCTACCTGTGACATTCGCCCCAGGGTGTCTTGATTCCTTTTCAGCGTCAGATCCATTTAATGCTGCTATCTGATGTAAGAATTAAAGGCCGCCAACAAAAAGTTTTTTGCTTGTTATGATTAAGTGCATTTAAATCAGGAAGGTCTTGCGAAAGAAGCTGTGATAAAATTAGTGAGTCGCCAGGATAGGTTACGTTTCAGAATCCAGTTTGTTGGTTTTTAGGACATTTCAGGGAATAAAACTGATTCTTAGGCTTTAAAAAAAGTTACAAGTGCGCAACAAGTACTCAAGGGGGTAGGGTGAATAGATAGCAAATGACCCCGGCATCATTGGGTCACGTGTCTCATAAGGGCTTTTCTGGCCCTTTGTAATTTCTATGAATGAAAAATCCCTTTTAGGAACGAAGAAAAATCCCTGTATATGAACCAATTTGGGCCAAACAGGAACCAAAATTTGTTCCAGCGACTCAGGAAAACGGCTTGAGCTCCACGGGGCTCTACTCAGTTATCTTCAAAAGCACTGATTCATACAAACCTACACCCCCTCACGGGGGCCCAAACTCCAGGGGTAAACATTCTGGGTTCCAGACTGCAATGCTGCTTGGCTTATAAGAAAATTAAAAGCGACCTACTTGTTTCCCTTGGATTTTCTGACAATCCGAACCCACTGACGAAACAGTAATGGCACTAGTGATAGCTGCAGTAAAAACGGAAACCAGGCAAAGGCCAATAAGCATCCATAATATGCTAAACAAACGACCCCAGAGTGTCCGAGGAACCTTGTCGCCGTATCTGAAACAAGACAGTTAAAGTGATATCAAGTAAGCAGTGTGGTGAGCGGTGAGGGTAGTCGGGTCGGGTCGGGTCGGGTCGAGTCGGGTCGGATCGGGGAGGGATTATATACGATGATTTAATTGTTCGATGCACCTTTTCACAGACTGAAATAGGTGGTTTTCATGCAATCTCGGGAGACACAAATAACAATGGTGAAATGAACGAATGCTGGTGGACAAACAAAGCGAGGTAATGAGCGATCTTTTGTTGACCGTCCACCAACATGGCGGCGATGACGTAACGTGAAAACCACCTATTGGCGGAGACAAGTTTTCATGGTTTTCAGGTTTTGTAAGGGAGCTTTTGTCTCCGTTAGGAATCCCGGTTCACAGGCATATGACCTTCTACCCTCGTGATTTCACATGAAGAGGTATAAGGATAGATGACGGCATGAAATAAACTGATACAATAAAAACTTCACCTGAGCACTGAAGCAACCAACCTCAACTAGTTTACCTCACAAATACATTGATAATAGCTGCTGCTTTTCTTACCCTACGGTTGTCATGGTAACAAACGCCCACCAAAATCCTTCTGATGATCCCCTTCCAAAGGAAGACGGGAATTCTCGCTCCCCTGAATGCATTTCCTGGAGAGGATATAAGTTTAGTTTTCGTTCGTCTTTATATGGGACTTAATTGCTTCTACTTAAAGGTGTCTGTTGTCTAATAGCTTGAAAAAGGCAAAAAGATGATTGAAAACCAGCTTTTATTGAAACAAAAAACAAAATGAAATGAAACAATAATACATTTTTTTTCTTTTTAGTCTGACAGCCAACTCTTTTCTTTAGTGGGAGGACTTCTGTAAGAGGAACACCTGTATGAAGCGGACATTTATTGTTGGCCTCTGCTTTTCTTCAATCTTTTTCCTTTTGACAGATGAGGCATTAAAATTTACCCTTAAAGTAAGGTCACGAGGTTACAAAAACGAAATGAATAAACAGGTTTATTCTTGATCATTGTATTTGTATATAGTTGGATTTAACAAGAATCGAGGGAGACTCTCCTTCTCTAGACTCGTTCCCTACCTGTAACCGTAATTTAGGCAATAAAAGCCTGGGTATGTGACGAGGTGTGTGGGTAGCGAAAGACTGGGTATTAAAAGAAGAACATCTCATGATTCAAGGTAGGAGTTGATATCTTATACTTCGAGTGCGCTCATAGACATGGCGGAGATTCTATTTTCGCGGGAAAAAGTGCCCTAAAATGTGTCTAAAAATAAACTGGTCTGTAATTACGCCGTGAGACATAGGCCTAGTATGGGAGTTGCTCGCTCCGGGTAATGGGCTCCTGTTCAGGGTGCATCGAACCTGTCCCGGGAGCGACTGGGAACATGTCCACTAATGCACCCCTCCCCACTTCCACTCAGAACCCTATCTAATTCTCTTACCAGCGCCCATATTGAGATGCCTGAAATACCCGCCAGTAGCAGCATTGCAGCACAGATAGGCCAAGCAGATAATATTGTAGCGGTCGTCTTGCTCGCGATCTGATCCTTACAAGCACTGTAATCAATTACCATGGCGAGACCCGGCGACTTTAAAACTCCGACTATGGTCACGCGATCGTTACCTGACTTCTCCCACTCTTCAGCCAACGAAGCGGAGAGAGATGGAGTAATTGGGATAGCGATGTCTGCCGTGCCATTGAGGACGTACGCACTTAAATCATCTTGCGTCGAAACTTTCTTCCAGATGATATTTTTCGTGTTGCAGCGGTATTGTGCAAAACAATGGACTAACGCAGCCTTCACGTAATCGTAGATAAGACCATTACCAATTTTTAAAGAGTTATCCAACACATACGGGGGCTCGCTTAGGAAAACCACAGTGAAATCTCGGTCGGATATCGTGCAAGCTGCATCCCTGTAAAAATTGGATCGGGAATCGGCCGAGCTCCAAAGAATTATTAGCAAAATAGTCACTACTGGCATTTGAATCGATCCCCCTGTGCAACCCATTTTGACGGGCAAAAGGTCAAACAACAGTGATAACTATGTAGAGCTCTATCACGTGCCTTAGGCGGAATGTTGTTGAACTATATCACGCGATACTTTTCAGTAGCCTGCGTGGCAGGTGTAAAAATCGAGGGGGGCTGGGGGGCGAGGGGAGGGAGAAAAGCTCGAAAGGGAAAAGCGGAAGGGAGGGTCCCTTACCCTCTCTCACTAATCCCCTCCCGTTTTCACTTCCTTCCTATCCCCTACCCGTTTCTGAAAAGTAGCAGGCTACTTTTCAGGGACGTAGCTGCCTGTGTGTCAGTACGCATGTACGTAACTAAATTGACTATAGTCGATACTCCAATGACGGCCACCTCTCCCCTAACAGCCACCTCTCTACAACGGCCACTTTTTTGTTCTGGCGGACAGTCCATACATTGACTCTTATTAAAACCTCTCTACAACGGCTACCTCTCCACAACGGCAACGGCCACTAAAGCGTGTCCCCAACTGCGAAAATAACCTCTCGTCAAGAATGGTCATGAAATTTGATTCGTATGGTGCGTTGATGATTAATCGCGGTAATTGCATTTTGATTTTGTTTCATTTATCCTGCTGTAGTAAGCATAAATTGTCTACGATACTTATAGCGAATGTTTCGAACCTTTCTCGTTTTGTCACGTTAACATTTTGACTCAAAACATAATTCTGTATCAAGTTTTTGCGTGTTTTATCTCTATATATTATTTTTGACTGGATTATTATCATTATGGGAGACAGTAAGCATGAATTTAACACAATAAACATGTTGTACTCCCTGAAAAAAATGGCATATATTATTACACCCCTATCTCCCCATAACAGCCACCTCTCCACAACGGCCACTCTCTTCTGTCCCCAAGGCGGCCGTTGTGGAGAGGCTCGACTATATTAAAAAGAAAAAATAATACATTGGACGTGAATAGATAAACGTATTTCTAGTAATATCAATATAACATTGGCTCAATCTTCCACTGTGCATGCATTGCCAAGGTTTTTCGCCAAGATCCCCGTAAGGATTTTCTATCACGATTCCCGCCAAGTTCCTTGTTTGGAGTCCCCGTCGCAATTTCTGCCAAGATGCCTGTAAAGGGCCACCTCCAAGATTCTCACCAAGATCCCCCCGGGATTCACGTCAAGAAGTTTCGCATTGCTTTTCGCTTTTTCCAAGGTTTGGCCCGGTTTATCATGACAAAAAGCCACCTCCAAGATTCTCGCCAAGATCCCCCCGGGATTCACGTCAAGAAGTTTCGCATTGCTTTTCGCCTTATCCAAGGTTTTGGCCCGGTTAATCATGCATGACTTTTCTATTTACTTGACTTGTGGTGATTTTGCTCTTTTCCCGTTTGCTTAACATTTCTTTTGTTGTTTTTTTTTTATTAATCTTCTACATTTTTTCAGGTACGCAAGTTCGTCTTTGCATACTTCATGTGTGACACAGAGCGAGTGAAAGTGAGCAGCGTAATGAAGGGGTTACTTTGTATAATCGACATGTAAGGAGCTCAAGTCAGGGGCTCATAGCTGAGTGCTTATTCTACTTTGTGTCTGGAGCCGATGTTTGTTTAGACTAAGAGTAGTCCCTCATTTTCCCTCAGGGAAATTAGAGCGAGCGAAACACAAGCGCGCGTGAAATCACCCCACGCGAGAGAATGTATTCTTTTTTTGTTCCCTACGTAAAAAAGGTATAGATTCTGTCAATTCATTCATTTGTTTTGTAGTCATTTTGTTTTCTCAAGTTCTTTCGCCAACCCAGTTAATCACTTGCCGATTTTTTTTTTCACAATGATCTAGAAAGATTTCCACCGTCGCCCGGCCGAACTAGAAAGTGGGGGCTGTTTGGAAGCAATAGTGACATGACGCTACCTCTTACATGAAGAAGGAAGTGAAACGCAAAGGCAAATACAAGCGAGCAGAAAGGAAGCTAATGAGGTTTATAAGGTTTATAACCTGAAAAACGTTGTTATCAAAGCATGATTTCGCCAGTATGGTGTGCTCTGGTCGCTGCTCAGCTCGGGTTTGGAGCTTATGGCGTGATTGTTACTGTTTTTGCAAAAGATAGCAAAGCCGATCCACTTGTGTTTTGCCTTCTGCGAGATGCTGGGGCTTTCCCTGTAATGTTGATAGCAGCGTTTTGCATCGAAGGAAAAGTTAGTGTACCTTCCCTGAGGTAGGCTTTAATGTGTTATATTTTCGATGTAGCTTGACTATTTTTATTTTGCTCATTGGGACTTGTTTTCCCGGAGACTTAAGATGCTGCTAAGGAACAGACTGGGGCTGCGAAATATGTTGTTTTTAACCCGAGAAAAACATGAATATCTCCACCCTGCTTCGTTATTTAATTCAGAACTTGAACAGACTTTGTGATATCGGTCGTGTTATTGAGTTAAACTTTTTAATAATAAGCCTGAGTAGAGCAGGCGTTTTATACGAACGCTTGAATCAAGTCATTGTTTAAAATTCGATCGCGTTAGGCGCCATTTTGGCAGCAATTAAAAATTGGACTCCTTCGACTTCGGGAAGCGGCAGGGGTATTTTGCAGAACGCCGAATGCAGAACACCGAATGACTCTGAAGTCTGGTGATTAGGATTAGGAATCTGAGTGAATCAAGTTTCAGGTCAGATTTTTTAGTACAACGACCCTGAATGGAACCTGATTCACTCAGTTTCTTAACCCTCTTCACTTAAACTTCAGAGTCATTCGTCGTTCTGCATTTGGCGTTTGGTGAATGTAGGACACCGAATGACTCTGAAGTTTGGTGATTAGGGTTAGGAAACTGGGTGAATTATGTTTCAGGTCTGTTTTGCCAGTTTTAATGATGCTAAGTGGAACTTGATTCACTCGGTTTCCTAACCCCAATCACTAAATTCAGAGTCATCCGGTGTTCAGCATTCTGCAAAATACTCTGCCGTTGGGGAAGGGATGGTAAAAGGACAACAGAAATGTCTCCTGGCAAAGCCTATGAAATGGCCCATTTTACTGTTACGGTATGAATGAGAAAGGGGGTGGAATTGATCTTGTTGTGATACAACCCTTCCTGCGTTCTCACGTAAATCATGTTGTTCTTATACTAGCAAGTCGTTATCAAGCATGATTAAATTTATTTCCATAANAGACTTAAAATGCTGCTAAGGAACAGACCAGGGCTGCGAAATATGTTGTTTTTAGCCCGAGAAAAACATGAATATCTCCACCCTGCTTTGTTATTTAATTCAGAACTTGAACAAACTTTGTGATGTCAGTCGTGTTATTGAGTTAAACTTTTTAATAATAAGCCTGAGTAGAGCAGGCGTTTTATAAGAACGCTTGATTGTTTAAAATTCGATCGCGTTAGGCGCCATTTTGGCAGCAATTAAAAATTGGACTCCTTCGACTTCGGGAAGCGGCAGGGGTATTTTGCAGAACGCCGAATGCAGATCACCGAATGACTCTGAAGTCTGGTGATTAGGATTAGGAATCTGAGTGAATCAAGTTTCAGGTCAGATTTTTTAGTACCACGACCCTGAATGGAACCTGATTCACTCAGTTTCTTAACCCTCTTCACTTAAACTTCAGAGTCATTCGTAGTTCTGCATTTGGCGTTCGGTGAATGTAGAACGCCGAATGACTCTGACGTTTGGTGATTAGGGTTAGGAAACTGGGTGAATTATGTTTCAGGTCTGTTTTTTTAGTTTTAATGACCCTTAGTGGAACTTGATTCACTCAGTTTCCTAACCCCAATCACTAAATTCAGAGTCATCCAGTGTTCAGCATTCTGCAAAATACCCTGCCGTTAGGGAAGGGATGGTAAGAGAACAACAGAAATGTCTCCTGGCAAAGCCTATGAAATGGCCCATTTTACAGTTACGGTATGAATGAGAAAGGGGGTGGAATTGATCTTGTTGTGATACAACCCTTCCTGCGTTCTCACGTAAATCATGTTGTTCTTATACTAGCAAGTCGTTATCAAGCATGATTAAATTTATTTCCATAAGAAAACAAAGAAGGTTTGTATCAAAACAAGGTCAACCTCAGCCTTACTTCACTCGAAGGTTGGGGAGTTAAACCCACAAATAGAGAATGGTCTTTTACAGAATACCCCCAAATTGGTTGTGCTTGATTGCTTTTGCAGAAATATAAACGGACATTGAAAATTGAGTTTGTTTTCAGTGGAAGGCATAAATTTTCTTACCCCAACTACATTGACACATGCATTTGATAAGTCTTGTTCAATCCAATATAGGATATGCTACTGTGCTTTGTACATGCTGATTCTTTTCTTTTTCGTTGTCATTAACCTGGACTTTTTCTCAGTCCATAAGATTATATGCAAAAGAAAAAGAACTTTGCCAATATCCAGCCATCTTGACATCATGCATGGTCAATAACACATATTTTATGTGATATTGTGTACAGTATAATTTATAATAATATAGCACGGATTAGAGTATTTTTTACAGTAGAGATGGCAGTTTTATACAAAAACCCTTTGTTTTTCTTGCAGAGGCATCCCACTGCTGATGGTCCTTGGTTTTACAGGAATGTTTGTTGGCCAGCTACTCTATCTTTTGGGCATTTACTTGACAAATGCTAATCTTGCATCCATGTTTCAGCCGTCGGTGCCAGTGTGGAGTGCGCTTCTCGCCATGCTGTCAGGAGTAGAACCGCCTCCTATGTTAACAAAACCTCATGGTGTGGCCAAAATTTTTGGCATTTTCTTAGCACTTACTGGAGCTGTGACAATGACCATTGGAAAGCTTGGAGGTGAAGACAGTTCTAATGAAGAGTCTTGGTTCGCCAGCGGCACATCTGTTGGTAGTCAGATCTTGGGTTGTATCTGTCTTCTTGTCCAAGTCGCAAGCACTGCAACATATTATGTAATTCAGAAGAAGTACATATTCAATCAACCATACTCTGTTTGGAAGAACCAGCCAATTGCCGTTACTGCCTGGAGTTACTTATTTGGTGCTCTTTTCATGGCTCTTGCTTCACTTTCTTACATCAATCACCTGGACAGGTTTGCCAGTTTCTCTACAGAGGCCCTCTACTGCCTTGTGTACGCCATCTTTGTCACATCAACAATGTGCTTCTTGCTGTTGTCATGGTGCAACATGCAAGCTCCATCCACCATAGTCACTGCGTCATGGCCTCTTCAGGCCCTGTTCTGTGCACTTCTTTCATTTATATTTCTTCACAAGTCACTGCAGCTGATGGAGTTTTTCGGAGGCAGCTTTATTGTCTGTGGCCTTGCAGCCGTTTTGTGGTCAAGCTATACAGAGGACAAGGAACTCAACATGCAACTCAATGAAAGAAACACAAAGACCAAGGTACCTCATAATTTGGACTGGAAATTCTCTGAAGCTATAACTGAGGGTTATGTGGTGATCCCTAACGATGACAATGAGTAACATGCACATAATAGAATACTACACATTATATTGTCAAATGTTCTCGGTTTCTATTCTAACGACACATTGGTGTACATTGTACGTAAAGTAAAAGAGGTTATAATATTGTTTCCTTATAAGCAAAATATTTGCATAGGAATTGTTTTTAGTCATGATTGTGTTTCAGAAACAACTGCAATAGAATCATAAAGCTTATTAGATTATTTACATGTGGGCAGCATGGATAAACAAACAACTAAGACAAAGAATAGGTTACAGTATTTTATAACTATGTCAATACACTATAACAGGCTACATATTTTACAATAAATTATTTGGGTTCAATTAAGGTTTTTTAACTACCCTATTCCTATTAATTTTCGCGATAATTGCGCATTTTAAACGTATGTAAAATCAATATAATGGATAAATTTTAAGACTGTTATGTACAAGACATACAGTGTACTATACCAATTTTAATGTGGAAGTCGCAGCTACAAATTTAGTAAAAAAGAAACTTTAGTCCCACCCTTGATTTTTCAGTTACCTTTTCTCACGTCAACTCTCATTTACATCGCTGTCTTCCTTAAAGACTTTTAAACGTTTAAGCCTTTTTTGCAATCTTAAACGTTCCGTCTACAGGGGCGGATCCAGGATTTTTTTTAGGATGGGGTGCACTCGTCTCTTGCTCTACTTCAACACCAATAAACCACATAGTTTTTTTTTCTGCAGAATACCAGTTGTATTAGAAAACCGTAGGTCATCTCAGGGGAGGGTGCGCACCCCCTGCACCCTGCACCCTCCCCCTAGATCCGCCCCTGGTCTATGACGACGAAACAAGTGAAACCTAGCCTGCGTGGCAGGCGTTAAAAGGGGAAGGGGAAGGGGGAATTTGGGCGCACGAGAGCGCGAGTATTAGGAAGAACAAGGCACAAACGTGACAAAATGTTTGAGAAACTTTCATTCGGTGGATATTTTTTGGGTAACGTAATACACTGACTGAGACCTTCCTTGATCACCCGAATGAAAGGTTGCGTTGTTGACTAAGTAACACCGGAACGTTAACAGTATTGCAATCATTTCAGTAATGTATAGACGGATGAGGGCACCGTTGGTCATTTTATTTTACATTGTGCCTTACAGACCTTACAAAGTAAGGCCGTTAATAACTTTTAAGAAAAAGAGTCTCAACATATTTTGACTGTTGCTTGCGAGCATGCTCTCCAATTGGGGGAGTCGCGAGAAGTCAGGGAGAGCTCTCCTCGCGCGCGTTCTCTCGCTGCTCGCTTCGCTTGCCATACTTGGAGCGCTTGCTCGCAGGCTATTTTTACGCCCGTTGCCTTGCCATGACTTCCTAACCAACATGTATATTGGGAAATGACAGTAAGAAAGTTTCAAGGGTTTTTACATTAAACGGAAATCACTGAGGAACTGAAAACGAGTGAAATAGAAAAAAAAAACTATGGAGACCTAAATCATTTCGTATCCACTGGTATTCATCAGTGGCGGATCCAGGGGAGGGGCCCGGGAAAAAGCCCTGGGGACGAGGTTGGGGCCCGGGGGCTTCTTATTTTTAGACCAAACTGAGACCCGAAGGGTCAAAACAATTTTTTGGACACCGCCGCCCCCTTATCTCAGGGTCTGGATGACCGCCCCCCCTTCCCTTATCTGAAGGTCTGGATGACTGCCCCCCCCCCTAATCTGAAGGTCTGGATCCACCACTGTTCATGCCATTTATATATTTTACTCAGCACTTTGAAAGGTCTACGGTCATCTCGCCACCAAACCATTTCGCCACCAACGAAGTCGCCACCAAGAAGTCAACTCGCCGGTCACTAATAACTCCGTAATAATCGACGTGTTTACTCACCTAGAAGTAACGTGAAGGAATTTTCTCTTAGTGTCTTGTCTTTCGGATAACCAGGAAGATATATATCTGCTCGATTTTTTAGTATTTGAATTTAACTTTTTCCATTTCTTTTTTTCTCTTTTTTTCGTTTGTTGTGTAACTTGTGATTTTTTTGGACAATAAAGCTAGGTTCTATTCAATATGTTGTTTCTACTTTTAACTTTTTAAGACAGTAGTGCTACTACCGCGGGTTGGTTAGCGGCGAGCAGACTTCTTGGTGGCGAGACGATAGGTAACCGTTTGAAATTATTTAGGTTGGTGTGCTTGTTTTACATGCTCAGTTATGCCTCAGTGGAATAAATGGTGACTAAGTATGTTAGACAACTGTCATTGGTTAACTGCAAGAAAGAATGAGCTGTTAACTGTTATGGACATTAGGGACCTTAAGCAACGACGAGGACGACGGCAGTGAAAATGTCGCTAAAAAAAATGAATTTGCGTTCTTTCAAAGTTAATCGCATCTATTTGGACCCGCTCATTAGGGCCATTTATACGAGAAAAAATAAGACGCGTCTTAAATAAGACGAGAACTGTACCATTTATACGAGCACGTCTTATCTAATAAGACGCGTCTTAGCTAAGCCGCGTCTTATTTTAGACGAAATGTGCCGTTTATACGGAAAGTTCGCGTCTTATTTAAGACGCGTCTTATTTTTCCTCGTATAAATGGCCCTAATATGTCAAATGCAGGCGACTTTTCCTGGAGTTGAATCTTAACCATTTTATTTAGGTTCAAAAAGAGGAAGGGAAATTTGTCGTCGTATGTCCCATCCTCCATAAAACGTCAAATTAGGAGGTTTCATGTCGTAGTCGTGCAGTGGACGTCAGAGTAATGTACTAAAAAGCGTGATGCACGTGCAGAGCTGTTGTTTTGATCATTAAACCCATTGTGTTTTGAAGAACTTATCGTTGTGGTCGTCGTCGTAGTTGCTTAAGCTCCCTATTAATTCGACAGAGTCACGTTTTTCCGCAAACACTCTTGACCTTACTGGCGCATCGAGTAATCCTTCCCGTATAAAAAATACAGGGATTTGTAAATGATTACGCGATACCTTACAACGCGAAGTTTATGTTAAAGATAAACTTTCAGTGAGGAATAGTTGCCCCCGCAAGGATTTCACCCAGAAGGCGAAATCCCGAGGGGGCATCTTAGTAGCTCGCGCCTACATATATATAGAAAAGTACTTACAGTTGAAATAAACGGTCAGTATACCAGAAAAAATCTTGACTTGCTTGATCAACTGATCAGGGGCCGCAGGGAATCGTTGGGTTAATGACGACGTTTCTGCTGTTCACGCCCGTAAGTAAGAGATGGTTAGGATGACGTAAAACAGAAAATCCCCGAAGGGACCGCTTAGGTTGATTTTGTTACACTCGTTGTACTGTCATACTTCGATACTCTTTGCGTTACGTGTTATCAGTGACATTTTGTGGAGCAGCTGTTTTGAAAGTTATGGACCAAAAGACCCCGGGGGGGGGGGCACTTTAGGAATTTCTGGGTGGGGATGTGCCGCTGGGAGCCTGGAACCCTTAACCTTTACCAGAGCTAGTTCAGCCGAATTTTGCTACCCTATACTAGAGTAAACTCCCCAAATCCCCCTATCCTAGAGTAGCTGTGTACCTAGTCTAGATAAAATTTGCAACCATCTGATCAGTTTCTGAAAAATGATACCCTATTCTAGAGCCAAACGCTCTGATTTATATACCCTATCCTAGAGTAAACTGCTTGAAAACCATACCCTTCACAGCGGCACATACCTATATAGCCCATATATGGCAGTACCCCCCTGAAAAATGATACCCTATTCTAGAGCCAAACGCTCTGATTTATATACCCTATCCTAGAGTAAACTGCTTGAAAACCATACCCTTCACAGCGGCACATACCTGCCCATACCGGGCAAAAGACACTCGTTAAGCGCAGATGAAGTTATAAGGTGCGTATAACTGTGTATGTATAAACTCTTGAACAGTTTGCCAGACAAGAGTTTATCATTTACAAATCTTTGATTGGAAACAATTTGCCAGACACTCTTTCTCTACCTTGGGGGGAATAAGAGTCAGTCCACAAATAAGCAAGACGAATGAATGAATGGCTAACTTATCACTAGCAGAACGATGAACGATTACAGGAATTCGCCGACAATTAAATTCCATACTGACGTATTCCCTGCTCACAGATGTCCTTCTATAACGCTTTTTTTAAAGAGAGAACGCCTAGAGACTAGGCTGGTGCGTATTCACTTCAATAGCCACCGATCATGCGCTAATTCATTTCCTCGTCACCAAGACGTACTCGGCTTTCTGGGGAAAAAGAACTCCGAGACAGTTATTTTGGATACAGAGATGTCGAACAAGTGCCTGGTCTTAATCATTTCTGTTGCTTTCGTCGGTGTGACTTTGTACACTTTCTTTCTCTGCATGTTTCTACTCAGAAATTGCTTCCTCGAAGAGTGTACAAGATATTATACACCAGGAACAGATCGGCACCCCCCGGCCCCGACGCCGACAATGAATTTATCAAAGGCTTTTAAGCCCGATAAGGTGAACTGCGATTTAACACAGGACGAATTTCAATCACCTTCGTTGGAGGATGTAATTCATGCCCTGGCATCAAAGGAAAACCCTGGCATTTCGTCTATAAGCGGACTTGCGTTGTATTTTAACCTCAACAATGCGTGCCAACCACTTGGTGACGTAAGCAAAGCAAGCGTTCAAGTTTACAAATTCGCTCTTGTCACCCTTGTCAACGAAACTGCGTGTCCTTTGCAACGTCTGGCATTGAATGCACAGAACACTGGATACGCCGTTTTGGTACATTTTTTCGTTACTAGATACTTAGATACGCATCATAAGTATAAGCTAATCAACCTACCGAAAACTATCCCAAGCGAAGAAAAAGTAGTAATCCCGGTTGCGACTGTAGGAATGTGTTGGAATGAATCTAAGCTAAACTTGGACGGGGTTCGCTGGACTGTAGTGAGTGCAGTCGATGAGTTGATGCTGTCAAAGGCGGACCGTACTATTGTTGAAATCTCTGTCAAGGTTCCCCTTGACGACCCAGACCGTAATGAACTGAAGAAAATGGAAGGGTACTTAAAATATCTTTTCGCCTGGTTGCTCGTTGGGCCATTAGTCTATTTTGTCGTGTGGATGCGATCTAGCGGTCGGCAACCCAACCAACAGCGAGGAAATGGTGTTGAAACTGCTGCTGAAATGGAGACTCGAATCATGGAAGAAGGCGAACTTCCGCTTCTAAATGGAGTTCTTTATGGTAGCAATACAAGACAACGACGATCTATAATTGTAAGAAAATGTTTCTACAAAGTTCTTGTAGGTTTGTGTTATCTGATTCTTATTGTAGCAGCTCTCCCTGTAGGAATTTCTTCAGGAGGGTTGTCCTTCTTCAGATTTGATCAAGGCGACAATAGTTTTCCAGAGGATAACTACTTTCTTAATCCTTTCAAATGTAAAAGTGGGGAACGAAATTTCAGTTACATGGAAAATAGAACAGTCCTGGTTGCTTACAATGTACCCTTTCCTTTAACTCGGTTTGTCGCTCTTTGGTGGTCACCTTTTCAGCTTTTCTGCTTTTTTCTCTACAGTTACTTTGCACGTAAAACCACTTGGACTGTTTTGTCCAACTACCCAAAAGTGATTCGAAGCGATTGGTTTTCGTCAAACATTTATTTACTAGTTCTCGCTCTAATAGTTCCGTTTTCCCCTTATCCTGACTTTTGTTCGCTTTATTTTGCGAATAACAACGTTCTGTGTACAGTGTGTAATGTGCTCTTCATAGTGATACTAGACAAACACGAAGCTGTCACGCGGTACATCTTGTTCCTTAGTGTCTGCGTGATCTGTGCTTACATTGAGAGCGATATCGTAGCCCTCGTTTATTATATTCTCAATTCTACAGGTTCACTAGTTGACGTCAAACTTACTGCTCTCCGCACTGCAGCCATCGGTCTTACATTGAGCGTAAGCTTGAATTCTTCTATGCATATCATTCGAAAACTGTGGAAACCGCAGGAATCTCTTTTCGAAGGACTCTCAGAAAAATAACGAGAAGCTACAGTCGGCAAGTCGGGGTCGGGAACAGCTACTTTTTTCTTGTGACGCAGCCTAGCCCAGAACTTTTTGTCGTGGTTTCTTCACGAGAAAATTTGAGAAAAAAATCTCGGTTTAAAGGAAATATGAAAACTTTTTTTAAATATCGATTAATTTTAATTTGCCATTTTAAACGCTGGATATTGTAAAACGATATTTTTGGGTATAAATTAATACCAAAATGAAAATACCTTTATCGAATAACGGATGTTTTATGAATCATCAAGCATTGCTATTTTAAAGCTATTTGTTTTTCGTTAATAAGGTTTGGCCCCGGGGTTTGGCCTGCCTTTGTAAAATGCTCTTTTAGACGTCGGTTTCTCTTACACAGAGGTTCTTAATCTAATTAGTTTTGGTAAATTTAACGTCATCTGTTTGTTATCTTACATTAATTGGCTTAATCAGTGGTTTTTCCTAAATCTTCAGAAACTTGACCTTGTCAAGTCTTTTTCTGGACATTCCTATTTTTACTATCTTTCGCGTTTTAAGTGGTTTGATCGAAACTTTTGTGCGCTTCCAAAAGAAAAACTCGTCCAACAGACTATCTTAGTTAACTCGTTGTGATAAACAAGCTTTTGTTACGGCCTAGTTCAATTTACTTGTTAAAAGTTGTAACGAGTGATATCTTTGTTAAAGGCTTTCACAATGTAAATATCTTGCTAACTGATTTTTGATTAGGGATTTGAAAACAATCTTTTAGTTAATATATGGAAAAAGGCGGAACTAATTACCATTGTACAATACTACAAGGAGCTTTTTTAACGACAACTTAAGCACTGTAAGCGAAATAACAAATTGTACATTTTAGAGTAACGATATTGTACATATGTGATTTTCATTCATGTAAATATTCCTTGTAATTTTCGTGTCTCTCTGACTGTTTTGTTTTGACTGGACAATTGTTGAACAAAAGTGAATTTTGGAGTTTTAACTGATTTTTCTATTACGACACAACCTCGAAGGAAAATATGTTAATAGTTCTTCTAGCCAATCGAATTTTTACTGATGTAAGATTATTTTAAGTTTGAGTAAGATTGGCAGCCTTCAGAGAGTCAGTCAGGATAAAAGGAGCTGTAACTAGGTCTTGTCAGAGAGGTATTACTAGCCTTGATTGTGTAAAGTTGAGCAACAAGTGATCTACACTACTGACAGTTTAAAGAGAAAGAAGTTTGAGTTCATTGTAGAGGATTACTGTTCCCCCAAGTTTCCTACTACAATACAGTGCGATGAGGGTCTGAATGGACCAAAGTCCTTGGTAAAGGTTTTATAAATTCTCTAATATACATGTTGAACTGAATGTAGCATGAATAATTTAATTGTTAAAGCCAAAAGATAGATCGAGACTTTTTCAATTACAGTAATCATTTATATCTCAATTTTCTCATAGCGCTTCAACTTCCGGTAAAAATTGTACTAATTATTGGTAGGACCAAAAATGCAGTGCGCATAGGTCTACTCAGTATTGCCGGAGAAAATGCAGTCATGTTCGCGGCGAAAGGCTGAGGAAATCGAACGCAAATACCGTAGGTACTCAATCCCTCTTAGAACATAAACATTTTAGCCCGACGTGAGTGATTTAATGTGAGAACAGCAAACGTCCTAGTTAGTGTCTCGTTCCGAGACGTCTCTCTCACGATGTAAATTTGAGCGCCAGGGACGGCGGGAAGGAGAAAGCCTCTATATTCTTTCCGCTTCCTGTGGTCCGTAACGCTTTGTAGCAGTCACTCGCATCTGGCGCTCGCCTTTGTTCGGACCAAAGCGGGCGATAAACGAAACACTTATGGAGGAGGCAGTTCCAGTCAAATATGAAGAAACTCATAAGCGCATAGGGGTGAAATGACTCTATGGGTGGATTTCCAATGTCGCGTAATTTTTACGTGCCTACTCACGGAAATTTTACCCGCGTAAATAAAATAGAAGCAATGTATGAAATTCGCGCGTAAACGTAAAAGTTGAGCGAGGTTCAACTTTTACAGGTGACCTTTCATACATTGCTTACATTTTATACTCGCACATAAAATTTACGTGCGTACGCGTGTAAAAATTACGCGACTCTAACTTCGCGTATATGATCATCGAGAGGAAGCCTGAAGCAGTTCTGGGTAGAACGCAGCTTAGTGAGTTAGTTCACACTATACTTTATTTTCATACACATCATTTTGCCATCTCCGCCCGCAAATAGCAAAAGCTAGACGAGGCGGGCGGAGAGTAAAGGTTACAGCAGTCATAACAGATAATATTGTAAAGTAACTAAATAAACTATGTGGATAAATAAGAATTACAGAAAAACAAGCTTAAGTTTACAAAATATATAGTAAATCTTACAGAATGATATTAGAAGACAAATTTACTACTAACAGAACCTATCAATTATTAGTGCATTGAGTCGAGGATGCCATTTGTTCATGATTATTTTAATTGAGCATCATACAAAGGGAAATTAGCCGAAGTACAGATTTTTCAACAAGCGATGTTTCTTGTTCGTACACAACTTTTTTGCGCTATTAAGGTAGACAGTTGAAAAAAAAAAGGTGAAATTGCGAGTTCACTGCCTGGGCAAAATACTAAAGTACGAGGGGCTTAGGCTAGGGAGAATAAGGACGGAAGTGGAAAAATAGTTGAAAAGTTTTCCAAGTTTGACAATGCTGGGAGAAGGCACTGAAAAAGCTCCGATTACGGTTTGATCTTATGTCATAATGTGAACTCTTAAAACACTGTAAAGAGCCAATATGATCGGCATGGTCATAATATAAATTGCCTCTTCGCTGTATAATTTGTTCAATAAATGTATGGAATGTGAAGAAAACGTATCGTGTTGAGCTAGATGCTAGTTCTCGTTCCGTGTTCTAAATCTTCCGAACGCCGCCAATAATAAAATTTCGCGGTCAGACATTCGAAAGACGAAAAAATGAAAAACAGTTTCATGTGTTTTGTCAGTGCAAAACCAGCGTTAAATAAGAGCTACAATCTTGGACAAAATAAAATGGAACAGCAAATCCCCATCTCCCCCAAATCAACGATGAAGCCGCGCGAAGGGCAACAACGCGCCATTTTACCCATCCTTGGTTTGGGGGGGAGGGGGGGGTCTAGGTTTTCCATTTATTTTGTCCACAGGTAGCCTAAACTACGTTACGAGGAAAGGGTGTAAAGTAATTTACTTACCACAGGTGACGCGTGACCCGGGCGCGTGACCTTTTTGCTAGACGAGTCAGTGTCGCGTTACAGGCGACCGTTGAAAATATGAGACTTTGAATGAGAAATAAAGTGCTGATATCTTCGATCGCTAACGCTTTTTTTGGCTTTATGAAGGCAGTAACAGTGATTATGCAATAAAGCCCCCCCAAAAAAGGAAAACGACAAACAGACACCGAAACACGGTGGAATATATCCCAGGAAAGTCTTTTTTATTTATTTCATTGAAGGAAAAATTAGATTTAAAGTTATTTAGCGTTCGAAGATCTCAGTATTTTATTTCTCATACAAAATCTCATATTTTCAAAGGTCGCCTGTCACGCGACACCGACTCGTCTAGCAAAAAGGTCACGCGTCACCCTTTCCTCGTAACGTGAGTTTGGGTGAGCGTCGCGGCGGTGAGCTTGAGCGAGCGCGGATTGCGAATGGGGGATGATAGGAACCAGTGCAGATCGAGAGCGGAGAGTGATGGGAAGGAAAAAGAGGTCTCTCCCTTCGTTGCCCCTTTTCTCAATAATCAACTCAAATATTCCCAGATAAGCGATCGAGAGCGTTTTGGGAAAACAGAATTATGGGCTTCGCTCGAGTTTGTTGGGAAAACCAAATCAGGGCCAGTTCGGTTATGTAACTGTCAATCGCCAACGTAATACCGGTGGGACACCCGAGAGCCGAAAGTTTGTGTCGTCGCAAATGGTCGGTAGTGGCGGGGATGGTGTGGGCCGGGGAAGGGAAGAATTGTCCTTAGACCTTCCCCTGATGAAGGAAGGAGACTAGATCAAGTCTAATCTTATATGTTGTGGGGAAAACCTCAGAACACCTGGGTAAACAGTAAATTTCTTGCGTCATAGAGATGCTAAACCAATCTCATTCTTAAGTAAATACTAAGCCCAAAGTAAAACAAAAACTTCTGCTTATTGAACTATTAACTGTGACGCAAAACATGGTGGTTTCTTTTTAATTAACTAAACCAACAAAGTTAATGCTATCTGCCTCCTTTCTTTCTATGTTAGATAGCTTTTTAACGAAAACAACAGCGTCTGCTTATTGAACTATTAACTTTCTAAACTTAAAACATGCAAAACATGGTAGTTTCTTTGTAATTAACTAAACCAACAAAGTTAATGTTATCTGTCTCCTTTCTTTCCATGTTAGGTAGCTTTTGAACGAAAGTGTCAAATGAATGCTGCAACACCTGCATCTATATGACAGATATTAAAAAAAGTGACGAGCTATTTATCATTTTTGTCATATTTCGCCGTTCCTTGGCAAATTCAAATTGAATTGTGAGTTATTGAAACGGAACTGGTCCATTTTCAATTGCATTTTAAACTTGACATCGATATAATCAAGTATAGGCCTATTGGATGGTATATATCAAGAAGGAAAATTGTTAAAACATCTGTGACAAAGCTCGGGTTTGCTAGGAAAAAGGGTAATTAGCTGGCTAGACCGGAGCATAAACTGCTCTTAACCGCCCTAAGAATCGCCCTTTATTCCACATCAAGTTTTGAACTTTAAGCTCAGAGGTGGTGCGTTTAACGCGCCGAAATTGGCGACAAGAATCTTCTAATCTATTTACTATGAAGAAATGCTGAAGGAATTGAAATGAAGTGAACTTTTAATGATCAGAAGTCGAAGTCTGTACAACAAGCAAAGCCTAATAACTTCTCAGCATCAGGTATTGTACGTGCATAAGAAAACAAGGCACAGACTGAATCTAAGATCACCTCACAAAAGATTTCCTGGTCTGGCAGACTGGCTTATTGTGGGAAAAGAAGGGAAACACAGCTGTGAATTTGTCCACAGCTCTCAAGTTTTGTTGCAACCAATTCACAACGTCTTTAATAGCAGAAACGGTTGCGGATTGTAGGCTGATTGTAGACTTGTAGGTGATCGATATATAAATTGGTACATAAACTGAACCGACAAAGGACTTCATTTTGGGCATTGATCGTTACGGTGTAGCGGTGTAAGGAGCGAAAACTTGAAATTAACTCAGTGAGTATTGCACTGATATAGGCTATCCTTTGTGTCGGGGTAACTCATTATAAAACAATAGTTCACCCACTTGAAGACCTTGGCGCGCGATGAACAACAACACAAACTCCTCAAGAGCAGATCCGACGTTTTATCTCACCACAGAACTGGCTACTGGGATCGTTCTGACGATTCTATCGCCAGTAACAGTGATAAGCAACGCGTTACTACTTTTTACCATCTTCAAAGATCCTCTCAAATGTTTCCGCACTTCTCCAACTTATTTCATTGTCGCCTTAGCCCTTGTGGATCTGATAACTGGCATTTTCATTGAACCGTTTTTCATAATGGCTCGATTAGTTCGTTACATCACGTGGTCGACTAGGCGAGTCAGCGAACCATATAAAACCCTATCGTCTCTCGGTGGTATGTTCTCTTACGTGGGTCTCAACGCGTCTTTTCTCCTCGTCCTTGGATTAATCGTCTCACAGTTCATCGCAATAACCTACCCGCACCGCTATCGTGTAATCGTGACAACTCGCAGAGTTCTTGCGTGTGTCATCCTTTCGTGCGTGTACTTCACCGGGTTCATTTTATTACAGTACGTGGGTGTTCCACTAGCGACTCTGAATAAAGTGGATCTCCACCTTCATTCAACACTCATCACGGTTCTACTAATATCAAGCTCGTTGCTGTTATTGGTATCGTTTCACAAATTTGCGGAAACCTCTCGACGCATCACAACGCAAAACTCAGAAACTCGATACGCGCGCGGCGGACACGAGAGCAAGAATCGGCGCAACAGAATCAGCCAAAGGCAATTTACCATTGTAACTTTAATTTTATCAGGAATTCTCATTGTATGCTCTCTTCCTCACATCGTGTTTGTTCATCTCCGTTTGTACATGAAACAAGAGACGCTACAAGAGCGTCTTGATTTATTTGCCTTTGTCATAATTGGAGATGAGATGATGTTTGTCAAGGTAGCCTTGGATGCGTTTATTTACGCGTGGAGGCTGGCTAAATACAGAAGATCACTGAAAATTGTACTGGGGTGTAATGCGAATCAAGTGAACCCTGATGCTACTGAGATAAGAACAATGGACAACTTTACTTTCCAACAGCCAAAATCCGAATCGACATCAACGACCATAGTTCAGAATGAAACGTTTCGAAGATAAACGGATTCAATTCTTGGATACCCTCTCTTTTTTTTTGTATAAATTGAAGTATTGAGTGTTGAAATGCCCAAGAAAATACCTCTACGGCTTCCCTATAGTATTAAGACACAAGTCAATTAGCCTGCAAGATACTAGCCCGTGCCGGCAGGCTTTCAGATAGTAGGGAGATCAGAAAACTGGCCAAGCAAAATGAGACGTGTTTGATCTAGGGCAGGGGTGGTACCTTCTCTCTGCCTGTAATGAAAGCGTGCACTAATTTCTCGGTAGATTCTATGCTTAGATATTTTCTGACGCGTCTTATATTGTGTAGATGAAAAAAAGCACTCCTACAAGTTTTAGTTATGTTAAAATTCAGGTTGAAATGTCAGTCAAACCAGGCCTCTAAAGTTTCTGAGGGGTTCCGTGCTAGGAGAGATGATGGATTCGCTAATAGTTAGAGTGGCGCTTTTAGTTTTCTGTAGCTGCGCCTTCGTCCCAATGAGCATAAACTCAGTCTTGGAATCATTGATCATGAGTTTGTCATTGATCATCCAGCTATGGATGACACAGAGGCACGCTTCCATTGCTGCAATGGCGGCGTCTTGATCGGAATCGTCGTTTGGATTGAATGCCAAATAGATACCGGTATCATCGGTATAACTGCGCGTCGTTGGCAAGTGCTGGCTAATGACATAAAAAAGCTCACTAGTGTAAAGGGAGAACAACATTGGGCCGAGACAAGAGCCCTGTGGCACGCCAAACTTCAGATCAAAACTGTCTGACTTTGCACTGCCGATTACAATACGCTGGGATCTATTCGACTGATAGGATTTAAACCACGTTACTGCTTGATCTTTAATTCCAAATTTGTATTCCAGGCGCCGCAGTAATATATCATGGTCTACTGTATCAAAGGCAGCGCTTAGATCTAGGAACACTAGTAATGTGACTTGTTGTTTGTTCATGCTGACGAGTATGTCGTTGCGCATGCGCAGTAAGGCAGTCTCCGTGCTGTGATATTTGCGGTAGGCTGATTGAAATTCTGGAAACATCTGATTGAATGACACGTGATCAGAGATTTGTAGTGCAGCTGCCTTTTCAGTGATCTTTGAAAGGAATGCGAGATTGCTGACGGGCCGGTAGTTTTTCTTTATCAAATCCAAGTTGACTTTCTTTAACTTTGGTCTCACTAAACCCTCTTTCCAAATGTCAGGAAAATGACCACTACTGGGCGAGAGATTAACCATGCTGGAAATGGTCGTTAGGAGTTCATTAATACAGTCTTTAACAATCTTGGTAGGTATAGGGTCATTGTCGCAAGTCTTGTTTGGGGCATTCAGCACCAGTTTTTTGATACCTTCAGACGATATAGGCTCGAAGTTAGTGAAGGGTGTGCCAGCATACGAGTGCTCTTGGACGCTACTCCTGGTCGAGTAGTCAGGCTGATTTGATGAGGGGTCAATTCTATCCAGCTTTGAGCGAATGTCATCGATCTTTTGTGTAAAGAATCTCCCAAAATCATTAGCAAGCATAGTAGGGTCAGAGTGTTTGGGGTATTGTTCCTGTGACGACCCTCCTAGCAATGCACTGGCCATCTTGAAAAGCTTTCTCTGATCACAATCGTTTTCATTAATAAGACTGAAATAATAGTCACGCCTTGCTTGCTCGATCACGTGATTTGTATGATTGCGTGCCTTGATGAATTTTGCCCTGTCTGACTCGAGCCGTGTCCTTCGCCATATTCTTTCATTCCGTCTACGTAAACGCTTGGCTTCCTTGATTTCGTTATTGAACCAAGGAACCCGCGGACGAACCGTGATAGTCTTCTTCTGAAGTGGAGCATGTTTATCTAAAAGGCTGGTCATGGTTGAACCGTAACAGGAAACAAGGTCTGTAAGTACAACGGGTGGGTCCTGGCATAGTCTCGATTTCCTGAGATCATCCTTGAACGCTTCAATGTCAATAGCCTTAGGCTTCCGGTAGCAGACCTCCTTAACAGTTGTAGCCGGCATAAGGAGAGTTAGTTCAGAAAGAACAGTGCAATGATCTGACAAAAAACTGTCAGAGATGAGCGGAGTCTGAACAAGGCCATCCAGGTTCCGTGTAATGATCAAGTCTAAAGAGTGTCCAGAACGGTGAGTTGGTGTAATCACATGTTGTGTTAGCCCCATGCACTCCAGGAGATCTAAAAACTTTATAGCGTCGGCATCATCTGGGACGTCCACATGAATCTTCATGTCTCCTACAATGAGGAGACGTTTAGATTATAGCACAATTGATTCTTGGTATTCGGCAAATTCGCTGAGAAAGGTGGCTACCGTTACTGGGTGTTTTTCAGAGTACGGTGTCCGATAGATAATGGCTACCTTGACTTTGTTGTTTCCTACGATGACAATATATTCAGAAAACTCAAACGAGGTCTTTTCGCCAGCAGTGTGAAGGGTCACAGACAGTTCCGTGCGAGACAACAGAGCGATACCACCCCCACCTCGGTGAGAGCGTATTTGATCATGAAGCATGTAACCAATAGGAGTGCATTCAGCTCTGACCGCCTCATCGTCCGAGGAAAGCCAAGTCTCAGTTAATGCACATACATCAATCTTGCTACTACACAGATATTCTTGGAAAACTGCAGTCTTATTGCGTACGGACTGGCAATTCCATAAGCAGAAATTCAGTGGTCGTAACGGAATAGGGTTGTTGTGACAACAAGTAATCTTGATAAGATTTTTAATGTTCCGACGAACACAAGTCGAGGCCACTGTGTTATTGTTTACATCATCGTTTCGCGAGGACACTATTGCCGGTATTCTGATTATCCCTGTGGGACCCGGGTTAAGTTTAAATACTAAATCGCCGATCAGTAGAGGATGAAATGTCGCGTTTGATCCAGAGTAATAGATGCACGGGCGTTTGTGGCGTTTGATATTCACGCATCTGCGGAATTTAGGATGACATAACAGGACAGGGGCGGATCCAGGGGGAGGGTGCAGGGGGTGCGCCCCCCCCCTCCCTGGGATGACCTGCGGCCGCTTTCTAATTAACACTGTGCAGTCGCTTGACAGACATACAAAATCTGCTCTATCGTTTGATATGTCTTCTCAGCAGTTCACATTATGTTATTTCCTAATCAAAAGACCTCTTCTTCGTATTCGCCTTTAAAATTTTTTACGTCATCGGTCAGTTAGTGGTGCACCCCCTCCTAAGAAAAATCCTGGATCCGCCCCTGCAGGAAATAGTATCCGCGGGAGATTTCATAATAGAAGTTCATTCCATCATTGTAATTCCATGAATCCAGTAACAATGGCGGTATCATCAGAAGAACGCAAGCTTTGTTCCCTAATCTTGTGGCGGAATGAAATTTACTCGAGGCCAGAAACGATGAAACATCGAAATCTCGAATTTCCACAGCCAATATGCCCTCATCCTAGTCAGAAGAGAGTTGGAAGCGACACTGAATCTTTAGAAACCAATTGCCGCAGTTTTGGCTGTCAAGCGGCCGAGCAGTAAGGAAAAAAAAAAAGAGAAAATAAGACAGAGAGACCAAACGCACATCCACACCTCATTGTACACATGACCACATAAAAGAAACTAAACACCATCAGATATACTCTTGTTGTAACAAATTAAATATTTCAATTACCTAGGGCTCATTTGAAGCCATCATATGATTCAGATTCAGTCACAGAATCACTTAAATTATTCCACTCCCTAACTGTTCTAGCAAAGAAACTAAACTTGTATTTCCCGATGAGGAGGGTTGAATGAGTTTCTTAGGACTATACTCGCAGGTGATTCTTCCCTTAGGCTAAATGTAGTCAGGTATCTTGAGACAAACTATGTTGTTCACGGCCTTCCACATAAGTTGGAGTCTAGCATTTAACCTCCTCCTCTGAAGTGATGTCCAGGCAAGTAATTACCCCGCCGGGTTCTCTGATGTAACAGAATTTAACCGAGCGAACTGCTCTGTGTTGAATGTTCACAATTTCCAGAATATTTTTAGGAAGGTGAGGGTCCCAAGCACTACAATGGAATTCTAAATGGGGCCTAACAAGGGTAAAGTAGGCCTGTTCCTTAACTTTAACCGGAAAATTACCTAGATTTATGAAGAGGAGGGTGAGTGTCTGATTGTCTTTCTTAGTTAGAGTAGCTACATGGAGATCCCAACTAAGATCACATGATAGCTCTATTCCTAAATAAGGGTGGTGAGTGATTACAGGGCGTGTGACTCCCCAACTTCATAAGAAAAACTAATGGGAGAAGCAGCCCTGGAGAATCGCATTAAATTACATTTCTTTAGATTAAATAGAGGCTAACAAAAAAGATTGGTCAAGTCAAACTGCAATATTCTTGCCTCCTTTTCGGAGTTTCTTGATCTGTAGAAGACTGTACATTTTGTATCATCAGAGAATAAACGCAATTTAGTCTTAGAAGAAAGTTTGTCACCAATGTCATTGACAAACATCATAAAGAAGAAGAGGGGAGCCCGGTACAGTGCACCGTGGGACACCTGATAGAACTTTCGAAAGTTCCGATTATTTTCCGTTGACAACTATTCTTTGATCTCTTTGAATTAACCAAGTGGGGATCCAGAAAAATATGTTTCCTCTAATCCCATAGTACTGTAGCTTTGCAAGAAGGCGTCTATATTCTTTCCTCTTCCTGTGGTCCGTAACGCTTTGTAGCAGTCACTCGCATCTGGCGCTCGCCTTTGTTCGGGACCAAAGCGGGCGATAATGGAAACAATTATGGAGGAGGCAGTTCCAGTCAAATATGAAGAAACTCATAAGCGCATAGGGGTGAAATGACTCTATGGGTGGATTTCCAATGTAGCGTAATTTTTACGTGCGTACCCACGTAAATAAAATAGAAGCAATGTATTAACTGATTTGCGTGTAAACGTAAAAGTCGAGCGAGGTTCAGCTTTTACGCGCGACCTTTCATACGTTGCCTACATTTTATTTACGCACGTAAAATTTACGTGCGTACGCGTGTAAAAATTACGCGACTCTAACTTGGCG